AAAGCAAAAAATAAAAGGCAAATATAGGTATTTGTATTTAAAACAAAAGAGATCGACAAACTATACATAAAGGTCCATGCCACTTAACCCTAAACCCAAATCCTTTGGGAAAGGAGAATGCCTGGGCGGAGCGCCACGGCGGCAAGGCCGCTGTGGAAAAAGCGGGGGCCATGAGCAGCGTGAAGGCCCGGCATTGAGGTTTTAGGGTTTATAGGGTTTAGGGGCTTATAGGGTTTATAGGGCTTACAGGGTTTAGGGTTTATAGGGTTCAGGGCCTCTACGGTTTAGGGGGCATGACTTTGGAGGTTTATGGGCTTAGGTTTCATACCAGGTTGTCTGAGGCTTCGTGCAGTATGTGTGTGTAAGGTTCCTCTTAGGGGGCTAGGCTTCCCTTGATTAAAAATGGGCTTATCTACGCCTGAAAGTGCTTCTTGTCTGTGTACATGACCGGACAGTGCAGGCTTTCGGCTATGAGGTCTTTGGGCTCAGACCATGAACCCTAAACCCTCACAGGTGAACTCTGCTGTACTTCCGACTGTACCCTGCAATGTGGGCTTCCTCAGGAAAAAAAACCTGAAGGGCTTCACTATGTTCACTCCGACTGCGCTTGAGACCTCGCCTGGATTGTCCGAGTTGTACCGTGTAAGCCCTAAACCAAAGATCCTATGAATTCGACTCTTTAACCCGGAATAATTAGACAGAGAATCCCCAAGCTCCAGAATCCAAAATCTAAAAACCCCCACCCTTGAACCTTAACCCGAAAAGTCTTAAACCCCCAAAAAAAGTCCTAGAAATGAATCGTTGGACCCGTTATTGCTGCAGGCCTTGCCAGGCTTGTCCGAGTGCGAGTGTTAAAACAGCCCTTAAAGGCCTTTAAAGCGGTTTAGGGGTTTAGGGTTTAGGACCTCCCAAAGGGTCCTAAGTACTGTTATGGGGACTACTTCCCTAAAGCATATTTGTAAGTCCTATTATAGAAACCCTACATTCTACCATCTAGGTACTTAGGGCCCTTGGAGGCTTAAGCCACCCCAAAAAGCGAGGCCTTCAACGAGGGGGCCAAGACTGCCTTAGCTGCGGCAGTTCAGGAGCAAGGGCTTCTAGAAATGCTCCACGGCTTCCACGGGTTTAGGGTTTGGGGGGTTTAGGGGTTTATAGGGGTTCAGGGTTTAGGGTTTTGGGGTTTGGGGGTTTAGGGATTGAGTTCACGATACAGCCTTGTCGATTCTTGCTGTCGTGGTCCTGAATATCGTCAGCGTAAGCGAGGCAGCTAGGCAGTGAAGCAGCCCATGAAGAACCATCACCCACATGCTGAAAGCCTCACCAAGGATGACAGACGTTGTTCATTCCTGGATCGAGAATTTTCGAGCAGACCTCATCGATTTGCGTGCGAACTCACCTAGTCGTCCCCAGCTTAAGCTCCTTGGGCGCACAGTGTAGGGCGGTGTAGACTTTTGCTGGCTTTGTAACGTGAGGCCACAGTTTGGGGTCGGGGATTGTGTGGTAGCCGGGTTTGTGCTTGGGGCCTGGGCCACCGCTGCTTTTGGAAACGACGAAGACGACTGCTGTTGCTGCTATGTCTCATTCTGTGGCTATATGTCAACTGTGACTCCGGCCATTTACCACTTTCCCCTGCTAGACGCGAGTACTTTCATGTCGCGTCTGGCCGGTTTGATGTCAGGAACTCCCCAAAAAACTCTCAAAAAGGTTCAGGGTTTAAGCGCAGGTGACAGATTTGCTGTCCTTTCGAAGGGCTCGGCCCCGATTGTCTAACTGCCGCGCAGTCATGAGTGTAAACGAGTGTCGATACCCAAGCCCAAAACATCTAAAGGGCTTGCCATAACGAGGCGCCTTGACTTGAAATAACATGAAATAACACTCCCTAACCCCCAGGTACCTAGTATATAGAGCGCCCTACGGGCTCTAGTACCCAATATAGTAGGTACCTGGGGGGTTATAGGGAATGGAACCCGGAAGAAACCTTGAGCGTCTTCAGCGTTTCTCACACTGCCACCCCAGGATCTCCTCACAACCCAGAACGCCTGAAAAAACAAGCCGAACACCCCCGGTTAAGAAGCCGTATTACGTGTTAGGAATACTCCTCAATGAGGCGGTTGTGGGCTCTTTGGGAAGTGCTTCGAAAGCTTCAACCTCCAGTCCTAAACACCAGAAGCTTCACAGACCCTAGCCCTAAACTTCTAGACCCCCAACCAACCTAAATAACCCTAGGCCCATACCCTAGCCCCCCAGGTACCTACTATACAGGGTACTAGAGCCATAGTAGGTACCTGGGGGGTTAGGGATAGATCCTAAGATGCGTTGAGGCTGGGGAACACAGCCGAGCTCCGTGACCTCAGCCAAGAGGCCACAAAGCCGGATGCTTTCAAGGAGCGGCTGGCAATGTGGCAGGAGCCGGGCTACCCAGACCTTCCATTATGGGTTTAGGGTTTCGGGTTTAAGGAATATGCCTTAAAATAATGGGAGGGATCCCTATATTATTTAGGTATGTTCCTTAATTCGGGGATACTGGAAGGTCTGGGGTATTTCAGAGAGAGAGGGTTTAGGGCTATAGAGTGTTGTTTTTCGTTGAATACCTTTCCGTTAAGGGGTTTCTAGGGTTGTATAGGGTTCCAAAAGGTATGTTGTTTTAATGTATTGTGGCAGCTCCTAAAGGGCGCATAGGGTTTACAGGCCTTTCATAGTAGGATGCGAACAACTATACGGTCAAGAGTTCCCCGTTTCGCCCCAAAGTAAATATAGTACATTCACGAAACCCCGAACCTTAGATTCCAATTGCTTAGACCCCTATTGGATTTTGGTGCTTAGGGTTTATCGTACAAGGCTTAGGGTGTTAAGTTGAGACAATGGTCGAGGATTTGCTGCGCGAGAAGACCCAGAATCTCGCGAAGGCCGTGGATGAGTGGGCTGCCCGACGAGAGCTGCGCGCTTCCTTCTCCTTTCGTGGCTTTCTGGGCGAGAGCGTTCTGAATCCCGTGGCGGATGCCTACGAGCTTCTAGCTCCTGGGACGATTCAGGAATATTGAGGGCAGAGGGGCAAAACCCCATTCTAGCTACCAGCATCAAGCCAACATAACACATATTAGTAAAGCCCATTTCAGTTGAGACTCTTGCAAGTCAGAGCTCTTGAGAAGTTCGTCCGCAGGCTCGAGCTTCTTTTTCGGCATTTAAAGGCTAAATCACCAAGTGGAACCCATTTCCGTGAAGTGAGGGCTTCAGGGCTGGTTTGGGGCCTTTCTTCTGAGGGTTTCGGGCTTTGGGTTCAGTGTTTGAGACCTTTAGCCTGGGACATTGAAGGATTCTATGGCGTTAGGATTGAGGGGCCTTGGGGCTCTTTGTAGTTCCTTTTTTGGCAGATTACCGTTCAGGATCCCATGTAACTAACTGGTTGAAGAAAACAATGGAACTACAATGGAGACTCTATGGATAGGGTTTGTGGGCATTTTTGTTTACGTATTGTGGGTCTGCGTAGGATGGGTTTGTAGTGTTGGGTCTTCACAGGAGCCGGAGACCTTGCAAGCTAGAACCCCCAAACCCGAAACCCTAAACCCTAAACCCTCCGAAAGTGTCGCGACTTCTGGAGTGTCGTCGGTCGGCCTAAAGGCGGCCTCCCTCTTGGCTTTCAGTCTGCGAGCCCGTCGCTTCAACCCTCAAAGGGCCCTTAAATCATGACCCGTTTTGGGTTTTAGAGTTTAGGGTTTGCCGAAGCTCCAAACCTCCAGAAGCCGAAACCACTGTGTGAGTTGAAAAGGGCCAAGGCCCCGCCACACACCCCAAACCTCTAAAGCCCTACACAAATTGCACTCCTTTATAAACCCTATCTACCTCTTAAACCCCTATATAAATTTTATGAAACCCTTATAAACCCTAAACCTTCCCCCAAAGAATCCACAAAGGTACGTCTGAGACAGCTCACGAGCCGCATCAAAGTCCTGCACATGGCCGGCTCCGTCTCGCGACCGGCGGATCTCGCTCCAAAGGCGCCGCTGCACCTCGGAGGCGGCTGGAGGGGTTTAGGGGTTCGGGGTTTTAGGGTTTTGGGGTTTAGGGGTTAGGGCCTAGGGCCTACTTGGACCCTGAAGAACCTACCGTTTTGGGGCTCCTTTTTATGATTTCGTGATATAAGTCCTGAAAAAGGGTGGGTTCTTTGGGGTTGAGGTAGGGTCCTTTAAGGGTAGTATAGGCTTCTATCATAGGGTCCCCTTCAAGCGGGTTCCTCTGTCAGAACTCTGTCATAGTTGGGTAACATTTTAGATTTTTTAGGGATACTTGAACTCGATGAGGAATAGAGTAGAAGTTTCGACGTTGAATTTTATCCCAACCATGAACTATAGGTTGCTGTAGGGTTCCAGGTTTGGGCGAAGTGGAAAGCCTATTGCAAAAAAGGGTCCTTGACTGGCTTCTATACGGGTTCCTATGAGGGCTTCAGTTTGAGGGTTAAGGGTTAAAGGTTCAGGGCTTCTGTTTCGGGTCCAGGCTTAAACCTATAAGGCTTATAGCTGCTAGGTTAGGGTTTCAGAGGGCTTGGATTTTAGGGTTTGCAAGTATCTAAGGTTTAGAAGGTTTAGTGTTTTAGGAAGCGATTTTGGGAATATACGTCTCAGGATCTCTTAGGTTCGTTTGGGTTTCTACCTGACTTAGGTTCGTGGGTGGCGCAACGAGCCTCTGCCTGCATGTGCTGCGGAAGCTGGGCGTGACGCACATCCTCAACTGCACAGAAGACCTCCCGGCTCCCAGCGAGGAGGAGTTGGGGGATCTCCATTGGCGGCGGCTGGCCCTACCCGACCATGAAGACCAGGATTTGTCAGAGACCCTGAAATCCGCCTTGCAGGTGGGACGCGAAGCGTGGGCTGTGTATCTGAATGAGTGTACACATTACACATGGGAAAATATTACCCCCTGCAGAACTGAAAAGTTTGAACCATCTTTTGGGCTTATGAACCTGGATTCAGCGACTAAGAGGTCATTGCAGAGGCGGAAGAAGCTGGAGGAAAGATTCTTGTCCACTGCCACGAAGGTCGCTGGGATGAGCCTTATTAGACTGAGATCTATTCTTGTCAGAGGTTATATTTTTTGCACATCTGCGCCCAAATCCTAAGCCTATCAGCTGCCCTGCTTGAAACCGACGCCCTCAGCCTACATCCTAATCAGACAAAAGCAACCTCGAATCCTTAAGCACTTGTGGAGCCTAAACCCTGGGCCTCACAAGTGCTAGATCCCATGGCCTTCAATACCTCAAACCCTACACCCTAAACCTCATCAACCTTCACTGAACTCAAAGACTCAAAGCCTCAAGCATAAGCCCTATAGTCCCCCATAAACCAAACCTGAACACTAATAACTAATAACCGAACAGCCCGCATTTTTAGGGCGGGGTGCCTGATGATGCTTTCCTCCTTTCTAACTCCTCAAAGCGCAAGGAGCGTCCGGGTACAATTGGCTACAACTGTCCTGCATTTCGGGCTGGAGTAATCAGCATTACTATTCATTCGGGCTTGTTAGCATAATACAACATACCCCAACACCCTACTCTATCTAGTTAGTATACCCTACATTTGGCTTTTTATCCTGAGCCTTCCAAGGGATCAGGCACTAGTAGAACCAATTCAGCCCCGAATTCCTCGAACGCTCAACACGAAACCTTCAACACTACCAACAATCGCCAACAAGCAAGAACCCTAAACCTAAAGCCTAAACCCTAAACCTTCCGATCTGAACCGCAAAAGTCCAAAGTGACAGCGGAGGAAAGAGTCGGTCAGTGTCCGTTTGCCTGGCCTATCTGATCTCCAGGCTGGGCATCTAGAGCTTTTACAGGGTTGTCGGTTGTATTTTAGGGCTTCAGGGCTTACCTAGGGTTAAGGACTGTAGGGTTGTAGGGTTTCGGGGCTCTTATAAGGCCTAAGGGGGAAAAGATTGTTTAAGGCTACAGCTGGCTTGGGGCTTTAGGGCCTCGGGGGTTGACGTCGCAGCCCCTCCTCGAACAGGTTTTCGTGCTTGGGATTTGCAGCGTTTGGAGTGTCTCACGCCTTTAAAGGTCTAGGCGTTTGGGGTCAGCATTGTGTGTGGGATTTGTTGAAGTAGCACTGCCGTAAGCTTATGTACGGCTAGTTCAGGCTTTAACTAGAAATGACCCTACATCACACAAGCTTTCAGCATCACTGAGCTTGCAGAGCCCTCTCTTCAGGCAGATGCCTCTCGCCGACGCGCTTGCGTACGTGAAGTCCAAGCGCCCCATCGCCCGCCCGAACGCGGGATTCTTGAGGCTTCTGCATTCATGGATTTCACATTCATGCTGTTTACGTACGGTCTAGGGTTTAGGGTTTATAATAGGGGCTTATAGGTTTTACCCCAAACCCCATACGTCAAACCAGATCATGGAAGCTTTTCTTACGGCTCCTTTGCAGGGACCTTTTCATGGAAAAGGATTTGTGAGCTCGCTCATATATCTGTGTGCCCTGATGGAGAGCAACTTCGCCATCACCCGCAGTAGTTTTCGGCCCCAAGAGACCAGCAAGATGAATGCAGCGGACGTTTCGTGTGAAGCCTTGGCTGACCCTAGCCAGGGTCAGCCGAACCTGTTGTGCCCTTTGAAAGTGATAGACTTGCTCTCGAAGACAATGTGGAGTCGGAGTCAAAGCAGCGGAATCAACAAGAGCATCTACTTTGGACAAAACCCAAGATCGAGCACCCGGCCCCCTAGAGCCAGTCGAAGCTACCCTGCTTTGACGAAGTAGGGTCGAACTTAGAAAACCACATTCCTTCGCCGGAGTCTCACACATTTCTTAGTCGGATATAGCATTTAAGCAATTCTAGAGATCCACGAGAGTCTCAGCAGGTTTCTTACTTGACATCTGTTGGGGCTGGGGCTGGGGGCTGCGGCTGGCCTGGTGTTGTGGGGGAAGCTGCCACTGAAATCGTGCGATTTAGACAGTAATTAGTCCGAATCGGCAGGGGAGGCTTGGTTGGGGGTGGCACCCACATCGTGCGAAGTAGACGCTGATTCGCTCAAATCCGCAAACGAGGCCCCGGAGTGCTGTGGGGGAAGCTGCGGCTGAAATCGTGCTTTAGCCACTGAAAATGGTCGAAATCGGCAGGGGAGGCTTCGTTGGGCTGGCTGCAGGCGGGGAGGAGAGACCGCGATGGGAAGGAGAAGGAGAGGTGAAGGGGTGGTGGGCAGGCTTGGTTGAGGCTGGCACCCAAATCGGGCCAATTAGAGGCTAATTAGCCGCTAATTCGCTCAAATCCACAAACGAGGTCCAGAGGTGTTGCGGGGAAGCTGCTGCTGAAGTCTTGCGAATGCGATTGCTCCAAATCGGCGGTTGGCACCCATCTCGTGCGAATTAGACACTAATTCGCTCAAATTGGTCCAAATCGGCAGGGGAGGGTTGGTTGGGGCTGGCACCCAAATCGTGCGAATGAGGCGCCAGTTCGCTTCAATCCACAAACTTGCAAGGCCCCGAGGTAGGGGCCGCATCTTTGTCATCTCTGACAGATTGTCAGAGGAGATGGACCATATGGGCCTGTCCGTCGGATTGGATGGCCGACCAGCCCGTTTTGATGATATTTCTTAACATACTGGTTCACCGTACGTCTGCAGATGTGTACAGCAGCTGGCGCCCGCAGGCTTTCATGTCTCCCCAGTAGCCGTCTGTGTGGGGGGAAGGCTGAAAGCCGCAGAAAGACAACAACAATGCCTTCACTCCAAATCTATTCATGGGACTCCTCAGTTCATTCCCAGGCGGCGGCATCCGGATAGAGAGAGCCTGCAGGACACGGTGGCGAAGGTTGTGCATGGAATTGTTAAGACGGGGCGCATCCACTCCATTCGGGAGGCTCCGGTCATATTTTCGGCCAAAGCCCTACATCATGCAACTGAACCATGGAGTGGCGAAAGGAGAGTGGTCCTTTGGCCCTGCTTCCATCATGCATCTGCACCAAAGCATATGAAACCTTCTCGGCTCGTTAGGTTTCAACCCGCCGTGCCCTGCATGAAGCATCCAGGTACAGCATGCTTACTTATTAAGATGGGGCTCTCATCCAGGGGACTCTGCGCCAAACCCGTTCTACCAGGAGCCTCTCAACCCATCGAAGAAGTTGAAGTCATGCTAGACGCGGTTAGCCGGGGGCAACATCATTTGCTGTACCACAGTAGCTGCTAGCGAACAGAGTGCACAGCAGCTTTTGCACTCTTCTCGCTGCTGAAGAAAATCAAAGCCACGAAGCTACGTCTCAAAATATGGCCGTTGTTTCCACTGGCACGCATGTATGGGCAGTATCAGTACTTTTTCGAGTAGTGGTAATGGTAGTGGCAGTGGTTGTGGTGCTGGTGGTAGTGGCAGTTGCGTCTGTCGTGTCTCTGCCAAAGCTTCTATTATCCCATACTTGTCTCTTTATTAGAGCTTTGTGTCCGCACACCGGCTTACTTCTTGCTTCAGCTTTCTGCGTCAAAACGATGCCTCGCCAAACCTGCCGCCGGCCCCTCGGCCCCAGACCGTGGCTCAAAAATGTCCACAGACAGTGCGGCAGCTGGCAAAAGCACATTTACACGCTAAAAATCCCGAAAACCCCCTTAAACCTGTCAAGCTGATGCCTAAACCCTGAAGCCTGAAGCTGAACCCCCTCCCGTGTCGTGACAGGCAGCTGATGTCCTTCGAACTGGAGACCCTGGGAACGAACTCGACGTTGCCAGAAGAGCTGTTGAAAGGCAGCTTCGGGGGGGGGGGGGGGGGGCTGGGGAGGCCTGTTAGGTCCTTCTTTCGAGGTTCTGTAGCATGAGCTCAACTTCCATGCAGATCAGAAGCTCAGAGCGTTTCGGAACTTGCAGGAGTGGCGGTGGCTGAGCAATAATGAGTGAGTCCCTTTATCATACCCCAAAAGCACCCCATGTGCCTATTCCAACTTCGTAAGTGACATCGTGAGACTGTAATGTAAGACCGTGCTTGGTTCCTGCTTTATGTTTGCGCTCTTGTGTCGAGCTATCCGTTCATAGACAAAGTCGCAAACCATTAAACCCTCTATGAGAAAGGTCCAGCCAGGGTTTAGGATTATCGTGTAAAGCTTGTGGGATTCACTTCAGAATTCAGAGTAACTCTACACTACACAGTCTCCCGATAAGGGTCGTCTTTCTATAAGTAAGTACAACACACAGTCAACTTGTAAATAAGCCCTACAGATCTGAAGCCCTCGAAGTCGCTGAGCACCAGAACCCTGGAACCCTGAACCCCCTAACCCAAATCATAAAACAAACACCCTTACAAACCACCGTAAGCCATGTAAGAAGCAAAGAGAAGCATCGCAAGGCCTTTTTTCAGAACACGTCTAGGAACCTGTTGTAGGAACTGTCAGCCTAAGACCTAAATCCTAAGCCCTGCACCCTCGGCCCCAAACACTACACCCCAAACCCTANNTAAACCCCAAACCCTAAACCCCGCTAAGCTTCTGAACCCCAAACCCTGAACCCACAAACCCCTTAGGCCATCAACCCCAAGCCCCTAACCCAAATCCTAAACCCCTAAATCCCTAAACGCAAAACCCCCAAACCCATAAACCCCCAAACCGTCGCAAGGGAAGCCGGTACTCAGCTCCCGAGTCGGTCGAACCTCCTGAGGCTTCGGATCGGTTCTTCCACGGTTTCTAGGGGTGTAGGGTTTAGGGTTTTGGGTTTTGGGTTTAGAGGTGGAGGGTTTAGGGTTGGGGGCGTAGTAGTAGTAGTCGTCGTCGTCGTCGTCGTAGTAGTAGTAGTAGTAGCAGAGGTGGTAGCAGCAGCAGCAGCAGCAGGAGGAGGAGGAGGAGTAGTAGTAGTCGTAGTCGTAGTCGTAGTCGTAGTAGTAGTAGTAGGAGTAGTAGTAGTAGTAGTAGTAGTAGTAGTAGTGGTGGTAGTAGTGGTGGTAGTAGTAGTAGTAGCAGTAGCAGCCGTTTGGGGTTTTGAGGGTTGAGGGGCTTTAGGGTTTAAGAGGTGTTAGGGTTTCGGGTTTCCGGGTTTTAGGGTCTGTCAGGTGTAGTGTGTGGTGTGATGTAGTTGCCGTTTCTGGCTACTTCCATTCTTACTTTGGTGCCTCTCCATTAAGATGGTTCTTTGCTGCGTATGTTCATCAATTCTAACCATCTTACAGCTTATCAAAATGCCCTGACATTCCAATGACGTGCGGCTGAAGTGCCGGTGAACCTCACACAGGGCTACTGCCACCACCAGGCCTCCTAGCGTCGGGTTGTGCTGATCACTGAGTCATTGATCTTTGTCATGAGACTTTGGCTCAACTCTTGCTTTACCTTCCGATGGCTGAAGTTTGTCGGCCCGCTCGCTCCGGGAATTCCGGGAGCGACCTGGCTCAAGCGGCAACACAGACCGTCCGCATCAATATCGGTGGTGAAAAGCTTATCGAAGTCCACCGCGAATTGTTCAGCGTGGTCGGAGACAACAAGCTATCCGCCTTGTTTTCAGGTCGCTGGGAGCTTCATCTAGATGACCGTGGCTATTTCTTTGTCGACTATTCTCCCGAGGTTTTTATGCCGTTGATTGAATGGCTGCGCCTTGTTCGGGACAGCCCCTCGCAGCAAAGCCTCCCCTTCATAGATATAGACACGAGGCACCGGCTAGCACTCGTTCGAATGATGGTGGCGATGTCATTCGAGCTGCATGCTCTTCGGAGTGCTGGCGTCTTTGCTGCAGAGGTGATCTCCTATGGCTTCGGAGTCGACAGCTGCGTCGACGCTGGATACTGCGTGGACGAGCTTCTTGAGGCTGGAGCCACTCTTGAATCTCTCAGGCACGCCGGGGTGGAGGCCCAGAGGCTGAAGCATCTCGGCTTAAGCAAGCTCAGAGAGGCAGGCTATACTGCCAGAGAGCTGAAGCATGCAGGCTTCGACGGCTTGTCCCTTCTGCGTCAAGGTGTGACAGTCGCAGACCTGATCCAGGCTGAGTTTGCCCCGACTGACTTGCGGGGGCGAGGTGTTCAGTCTGCCACACTCGTTTACGAGCTCGGCTTCTTAGGATTTTCAGCCACCGAGCTTCGTGTGGCAGGGTTCTCTGCCTCTGATCTCACAGTCGGAGGGTTTACGGCCACTCAGCTTCGCGCGGCAGGCTTCTCTGCCATGGAACTCAAGGCGGCAGGGTTTTCTGCCGCAGAGCTTCGTGAAGCTGGCTTTACTGCCGAACAGCTCGCACATGCAAGGTTCTTTCGCCAACAGCTTGAGGCAGCAGGGTTCGAACGCATTATGATCAATTTCTCTGATACCTACCAGCTTCGGAGCTTCAAAACACGCGGCTTCCTTCCGGACAACCTTCCTGCAGCAACGGTCTCAGAGCTTCGCATCGCCGGGTTCAGCGCCACAGAGCTCCGGCAGCAGGGCTTTGACGCGCTCCAGCTGCTGTCAGAGTTTGGCATGATGGCAGTATTTTTGGCCTGGCTGCACTAGGTGCTATGCGTCAGTGCGTCGCATTACTTCTACGATCCACAAGCATGTCCGTCGGAAGCAGAGATGGTCATCGCCTGGCAGAGTTAGGGCAGGTAAATCTCTGGGTCAAGCAGTGAGCTGAGCCATGAATTGGGGACGATGATGTCATGACGAGTCGTGGACGCAAGAGTCGCCACATGTCAGGCACCCAAAGGATTCATGCAGCATACGCCAGCAGGATCGAGAAATTGCCGGTACTTACACATGTTCAACCTAATCTGTTTTACTAGTTACTGCTCATATATCTTCAAAGCGCCACTACCCTGTATCTGTATCCCTGCATGCATAATGTGTGTATGTATACAAGGATGTGCATGCATGTCTTCCTGCATAGCCAGATTCTGAGCTCAAGACATGTGCGGGACTGTGTGCAGATGATGGCTTCCGAGATGGAGAATTTCAGCTGGGCATTTCCGGAGGAGCCTTCGGTCTTTTGCATTGCGCAGAGTGTACGGGAGGCTTCTCCAGCTGCAGATTCAGAGGCTGAGGGTCCGAGCACTCTTGCCGCAGGAGACCTTGTAGAGGACCCGTTAGAAGGACCCTTGCACCGTAAATCCTGAACGCTATAAGCCCTAAACCCAGCACCCAAAGCCTCAAACCTTAAACCCTCCATGCCAGCCTTGTGCGAGTGCGTGAGTCGATACCCTATCAACCCTGATCCCGAACTGTAGTGGGCACCCGAACCGACAGACCGCGTTTGGCAGAGTCCGAGTTGCGAGAGCGTAAACCCTAAACCCCAAACCCTGCATCCCACAAGCCTCAACCAGCATGGTATTCCGGACAACCCATTGGGCAGAAGGAAAAGAGGCAAAAAACAAAAAAAATCCTGCATCGCAAGGCACGCCGCTTCTCAGTTTCGAGGAGCCCGAGGCAGCGGAGGCATCGGATGCACTTCTCAGGGTTTAGTTGTCTTATGATGGGGTATTCGATTTAGGGCTGTAGGATTTAGGGCTCCCTAATTAAACCGTATATAATCATAATAAGATTTTATGTTCGGGGCGTACGGTTTCTTTTTTATTTTTTTGTGGGGGGGGGGGGNNGGGGGGGGTTAGCGTTTTGGGATAAGTTTAGGTGGTTTCAGATTTTTTCAGCACTGAGATACGGGGTTTGGGGTTTGGGGTCTAATCCATGAAGTGTGCGCAACACCTAATCCCGCCTAATCCATGCTACCTGCGAAACATCCCCTCAGTTTCCTGACCTATTGCTTGGAGTCAAGATAGGGATGTCCAGCAAGGTATGATATGCAGTCTATGGTACGGCAGTGAGTAAACCCAGCTTTGCAAATTCGCGGATGGTCGCAGTGGGGGTCCAAGCCCTGTGCTAGTGAGGCAGGTGTGTGAATACATGGTCAGGCTCTGTGGGGCCTTAAAGAGGGATCCTCCGATCTTGTAGATGGACACCCAGGATAATTTTTGATAATATGGGCAGTTTTCCAGAATTAGGGTCCCCAACAAAGTAGTGGCACGCTTATAAACAGGACCCTGGAAGGGATCCGAATTTAGAGAACTACCCAAACATCATTATTACTGGCGGTGCAAAAATTTCGTGAGTAAGAAGTAGATGTTGGTCGTGTTTAGGAGGGCGAGCTGTCTTGTCGGCCATTCTTGACGAGGCCACTCCGTGCGACGCATCTGAAACTGCCGACTGCCAAAGGCAATCTGAAAGTTTCCACGTATAATAGTATTATGAATACTTTTTTGAGCATTTTTGGTTATGATCATGAGTATTGCTATTCGTACTATATAAGCCAAGATAATAAAGATAATTAACCTCAAGGTACGTCATCCAAGGACCGGAAGCTCCCAGACTTAGCCTTGCGTCTTGTCAGTGAGCCCCCACTTCTCGGAAGCTATGCAGCATCGAGATTGATGGCAGGATGAAAAAGGTGCCCATCTGCTGGCGAATGGCCAGAAGCCTCAAGCATTAACCAACAGCTGAACGCTACAGCCTTCTGTTGAACGTCGTTGTACATGGTCATGCTAATAGAGTTAAACCCCCAGCCCTAACCCCTTGTGCTACATGTTTTGGCTTCATAGTGCCCGGGGTTCAAGACTGGGTTTGGGTTGAGGACTTCTTGATAGCTCTGCTTCAGGACAGGCTCTCTGTCCATCTCCCGAAACCCACCATGCATCACATTATTTGTGCGCGATTCTGCGGGCGTAACGAAGTCTTCCGATGCTAAACCCCAAACCCTAAACCTCCATCTACACCCGGCACAAAACTTGGCCGAGGACAGGCGAAGTGCGACCGCCAACAGCGGGCCAGGCGGACCTCTTCCAGAGCTTCTTTGGGGTATAGAGCTTGGAGGTTGTGTTTTTGTTTTCGCTTGTTTTGGTTCATAGGGATAAGACCTATAGGGTTAGATGTGTAGCTTGGGCTTTGACGCTTCGGCCAGGGTCCACTTTTGCTTTCCTCCAATCTAGCCCCGAACAGCACGAAACGGGAGCATTGGCAGCCGTCGGAATGCCAGTCACCTGCCTAAGAGCGGAGGCTAAGGCGAATTAATTCCTCGTAGTCGTGATTGTCGTAACCTTTCGCATAGGCCCTCGCCGTCCTATGGTAGTCGTCGCTGTGCTCGTCGTCGTATTCACGGTGGTGCGGATGGTGGTGGTTTCAAGAGAAGTAGCAGTGGTAGGGGTGGTGGCAGTGGTAGTAGCCGTTATTCTGCTGGTGCAAGTGGAGTAATTATCATGCCACCCCTTTCGACCGCCCTCCTTCGCGCTCTCATGCTGAGATGCATGGCACAAACCGCAGCTCCCTTGGCTTTATCAGTAGTATTGTACACAAGGACCTGCAATTTGTAGCCTCATGGCTGACGAAGTAGTCCAATGGTTCTTGTTGTCCAATCGTCTCTTCACTGGGGTTTGAACAGACCGAAGTCTTACAAGCTATGGTCTCGGTGGAAACTCTGGAGAAGAGGCGTTTCGTGCTGATGCGCTTCAAGGAGTCACGGGAGCACGAACGCGTTGAGGCCTTCTTCAACACTCGGAGCATCTTAGTTCTCCAAGATCCAACCTTTGAACTTGTTTGGGTTCTGATAATTGGGTAGTAATCTGAAAGTTTAACAAATAACCTTTTATTTCCCTGGCTTATTGGGGAAGTAAGGCATGGGTGAAGCTTGGCTAATGCTGGGGGAGGAAACTCTCCCAGTGTCCCCCGAGATCGAAGGGAGCAAGCGGACATGGGAGAGGGCTTTCTACATGTATCGAGACTTGGTGGACCTTTGTTGCCCTGCATTTTTTGGATATTGCAGCTTTTACCCCTCTCCAGGATTAGGGGGCGAAAAGAAGCAGCCGAGGAAAGAAGATCATGAATTTGAGCTACCTCATTGACTTTCAAGAAATACTGAAGGCCGAATCCTTCAGGCAGAGCTCCCTACTTCAGGAAGTTCATCTTCCAGGCGCAGGCCGAACACTACGCCGAGCATCGACTTACAGTGATGGCTGCGCAGACAGGGACCGGCACAGCCCGGAAAGTCCTCAATTCATACGCAACGAGGTAGTGCGAATTTGACAGTGACACTGCATCGGCCATTGAGCTCTTTAATGTCTGACCCATCTAATTCGCAGGATCGCTGTGTGTGACACTGCGGCTCGTTGCGGAAAGGGTCGACCCCACATCCATCAGGGCTACAGCTTGGGGTATAGGTCTCGGTGGTGTCTGGTTTAGGATACAAGCCTGACAAACTGGAGTGAGGCTTGGGATGTCGTGTACCAGCAGCGAGCTGTTCGCTTCCCGATTTCCCTGCCTTTCCAGAGCATTCCTTCATCGGCTTCAGAGACCTTAAGTTTAAGCCCTGGGTCCTGTACCCTAGTGTCTGAATTTAGGCCTCTCTGGGTGGTTTTTGGCTTGGGTGTCGGCTTTGAGAAGGTGGCAACCACAAGCCACAAGCCCTGGAACCTCTGCCGTGGCTTGTCCAAGTTGCGAGAGTGTGAAACCTCTGCTGCTCTGAAGTCAAAATTCTACTGATACAGGGGCCACAACAATCTGACTTTGGGAGCGGGGTGGGTATGTAAAACCCAGGAACTAGACGCCAAATGCCACACCCGATACCCTAAACCCCGAATCCTAAAGCCTAAACCCTGACTCCTGTTTCCTGTTTCACGCCGACTTCGCACCATGAACCTCGCCTGGCTGGTCCGAGTTGTGAGAGCATAAACCCGACAAGCCGGAATCAGCAGCAGGTCCGGATCCTCGGTAACGACGTCACGACATCTCACGGCCTGGAAGAGGCCGGGATCCGTTAGCTGTCGGACGCTTTGAGGCAGAAGCTGTGAACCCCGAAAGGTGCACGAGTCTTTTGCGGTTTTTGCGCGTAGGGTTTAGGGTTCGAGTTGTGAGTTGTAGGCTTGGGGGGGTGCGCTTCTACCGTGTTGCGGTTATTATCATTACGATTATTGTTATTGCTAGTGCTGTTGTTTATTTGTTTGTCATATGGCGAAGCTTACCTCGTGCAAACGGCTTTACTTGATCCTGTCATGCCCTGCAGCGCAGATTTGCGCATTTAGCTAGGGACATGTGCCCATTTCAAAACTTTCAAAACCTAGAACAATGGGACTTCTGTTTGAACTCCAACTTGATACCCACTCTGCGCTTAGCCACCCCTCCCCCCAACATACCAAACATGCACACACATAAGTAGTCATAAACAAGCAAGCAAATGCATGGAACCCTATACATGATTTCTTAACGTCCTCAAGCCTTGCAACAGGCATACCAAGTCCTGGGCGTCTGCCCTCAGGCAGACTGAAGGGATCCGGTTTGGGCGTAATTCGTCCTAGAGAGGTTGGACTTGAGGGTCTACAGTCGATTTAAGACTTTCCGAACATTAGGGTACCTTTTTTGGGGGTCCCTATAATAAGGATCCTACTATTCAGGGTACTATATTAGGGTCCCCTATTTTCGGAAACTCCCATTTAAGGTTGAGGGGTTCGAGTGGTAAGGATTATGTTGCTAGTTGCCGGGGCTCGCAAGTCAGGGGAGGCAAGGGTTTAAACATCCAGAGTTTTGTGACACATCGTAGGGTGTGTAGGGTGTAAGGTTTAGGGTGCCGAATTGCAAGCCCATGTTTGGTAAACCTAATCCATAAACCCTATATTATCGATCAATCTATCGATCCCTGAATCGCTATTACTCTCGGTTCTAAGGAGCTCAGTCACATGAGCCCTGCCACAACTACCAGAGATCTGCGTTCTTACTAGTCTGGGGGATTCAGAATGCTAGGTCCCGTTTCAAGGGGTTCTCCTCATAAGGATCCTTCTGCTTCGTGTTGGGGTCCCTTGCTTCTTCCCCCTACTGACGCATTGTCACACGTTGCGAAGAGCGACATGCGAAGATGGTGCTTGTTTGGGATACGGCGGGACTGTTGCTGAACATGAAAGCTCAAAGAAGTTTGCATGTGTTATGCCCTAGATGCTGATCCTATAGCTTTGAACCGAGCTGTGTAGCGAACCCAGGATCCCTCCGATGTGTGTGGGTTTAGGGCTCAGGGCTTACGGCAACGGCTACCCTGCTCCTTACCAAAAGGTTTCCTGTGGGGGTTCCCTGCACTATCTGCTCAGGCACTGTCCGGGTGCCGGGGTTGATTCATGAAGAGAGAATGGGAATACTAATTTTTTTCAATAATTTCAGGGATTCGACGTGAAGGCTCCTTCCCGCCCCCGCTTCGTGGAAGCATTTCACAAAGCCTTACCGGCAACATCCTAGTCCCCAAATCCATGCCCGCAAGCCTTGGCGAAATCGCCCTAAGCATATGCATATAATGATATGATGTGTATGTATATATACATATATATGTATAGCGGTATATGTATATACAGACATCTATCCACAATAATTATGTGTGTGTATATACATACATACATACATACATACATACATATATATATATATCTATATCATGGCATACAATGGTAGCATGGCCTCCTGGTGCGCAGATTGATCCTCTCTGGGAGTTCTTGTCCGGCCGGGAACACCTGTTGTCGAGACCTTACTGTAGCCTCGGGTTCTTCAATGACCGAAGGGAGGGTTTAGGATTTATAGGGCTTATAGGGTTTAGGGTTTATGGGGTTTAGGGCACGTGCCGGGCCCGTGCTGAAAAGGGCCCTAGAGCTCCCAGCTGCCCAAAGAATGGGTTACTGGGTTACGTTTTGGATGGTTGGTAACCTACTCTTTAAGTAACTGGAGGTTCAGGGAAGGGCAGCAGTAGCAGTAGCAACGATGTTGTCAGCACCGCTTCGACGATCAAGAAGTCCGAGTGATTCCTGCACAGGCTGGCATGCTGCACCCTTGCCAGCTGAAATTGCAAGCCCCCTAATTTTTTACTGCAAGCCGTCCCCCATGGTTACCATGCGTTTGCCGAAATTACTTCGACTGCCTGTAATTGATAATGGCCCCTACTTACGACACATCCTGCTGACGGGATCTCAGCGAACATGTCTTCATGCCCATTCCACAGGAAGATAGCCGGCTGGCACGGACAGAAACTTTCGCCAAATCATGCAAACCAACTGCGCTAGCCCATTTAGAATTGTGGAAATCTAACTGTTATATACTGTTATCCTTGTTATTATTACTATTATTACTATTATTATGATTGTTCTTATAGTACTCGAGGCAACTGGACTGAAACAACTCTCGAGCCATAGAAAGACGGACCTCAACGGCCTCGTACGTAGGACAGTAGTGGCTTGCGGAGAGTTTCCAGCCCTGGCGCGGCAAGGTTCTTTGGTCGAGTCAAGGGCGTCCCGGAGGCACTCTTTCGAGCATTGAGGTTTAGGGCATGACTATCAGGGTTTCGGAACCTTTGATTTAGGAGTTTCTTCGGGACAGAAACTAAACCATTCGCCCACGAAGCCTTTCGGGCGATGCTCTCTTAGGTTGAAGCGACTTGATGTCCGCTTCACAGCAGGCACCATCACCGGAATCCTGGACAGTTAGATGATCGATATGCAAGCCCCGCCATTCAGGTAATCACCGTATGTATATGTTAATATTATGTCATATTATATCACATCACTCATATGTGTATACATAAATCAGTCTATGTACATATATATATATATATGTTTTTTGTTTGTTTGTCTTTATATGTGTATATATATATAGAGCAGATATCATGGTATGCAATGGTACAATGGCTTCTTGAGCTTCTTGGGTAACTTCTTACGGGGAAAACATGCAGATTTGGTAACAACGGGTCGTGCTGGAAGATCGGGGGCTGCTGCCAGTGCTTCTGCTGTTTGGAGGCCTTTGAAGGTTCGGGGGCTTGTTGTCGCTTTGCTCTTATGGCCTTCGATTTCCGGTGCTATCGTTTCTTGTCTCTTCTTAGTTATGGGCTTCTGATCTGTGATTTACCGCGCGCAACCCTGCCAAGCCTAACATCCTGAGCCCTTTCGCCCGCCCGTCCTAAGCTCGAGACAAAGCCAAGCCCGACGTTCTCGCCGCCCGCCCCCCATCCATACGGCCACAGACATTCAGGCTTCGAGCAAGTTGCTGAAGACAGCCATCGTAGGGACAGAATGTTGTAATCTTTGGGTCCTGATTCTGTCATCAACTGCCTTCTTATCAGAAGGGTATATCAGTCAGCTTGGAATATAGAACGCACCACAAGAACGAACAACACAAACAAACGGGTTCAGAGAAACAAATGTGCGCAACGCAACATGCCTCGCCGACCCGTGCGACGCAAAGATGCAGACCTCTTCATTGAAGATGAAACAGACACCTTCAAGGATGCTGTGAGGGCAGGGAAGCTTTCAACGGTGCAGGAGATGCTTGGAGCCGTTTCGGAGGACGATGCAGGTTGTTGGTGCTGTGAAGCTTTGGATAACTTCGGTCGCACAGCTCTGCACCACGTACTAGCTGGGCCGGACCAGGAGCAGATCTTGCTCTTGGCCCGGTTTCTCTGCCGGCAGAGAGCCGACCCGAATGCTTCGGATGAGAATGGCGTCACCCCACTGCACTTGGCAGCGCAGCGTGGCTCGAAGCACGTCATCAGGTCCCTGCTTTGTGCTCGAGCAGACAACCAGCAGCGCACTTCAGATGGAAGGTCCACCGTGGACTTCGCACAGTTTAACCCCTCCCCGGTGGAGGCTTTCGAGGTGGTGGGATGGCCCGGAAAGGGACCCGAGTTGCACCCCCTGGAGCCCAAGAAAGCCAAGCCCCAGGGTGCCGCGACCGAGGCGCCGCCTCCGCAGAGCGAAGCATCCCCCTCACTGTTTTGGCCCCTGCTCCTTGCAGGGCTCTGGTTTTGCCTCCTGGCACTCCTATCGATTTGGGTCATCCGGGCCGTATGATGGTCAGGCCACCTCATGACTCTGGTACAGAGTAGTTCACCACCCCAGGGTTCGTAGTTCTCGCACCAAGACGTAACTTGAGTCCCGAGACTATGAAGTTGTTGTCAGCAGTTGGTCTCACTGTCTCACATGCCAGATTTTGGACCGCGCCGGACAGTCAAGAAAGCTTGTGGCTTCGGATAGGTGATGCGGCAAAGTGAATGAATGCCAGCCCTCAAACCTAAATCGTTATTCAGGCCACTGAGCTCCTTGAAGCTGAGAAGGTCCTTACCGCTATTGAAATCGGGAAACTACCAAGCGTCGCCTAGCAAATTGAAAAAGCCTCTGACATCAGTCCTGGGCCGACGCGGAAGAACAATACGAGACTAGACTATATTACGATACTGTACTCTACTGTGCCATATTACATTCTGCAATCCAAGAACTATATAGTATCGCACAGCACACTATGCTACAATGTGACAAGGCTTCTCGTGTTCTTGGAAGGACGAGCTTGATGCGCGTGTGAACAATCTCCTTTACCGCTTGGGGCTCGACGGTAGTGACCTCAGAGGCAGACAGGCCGAGTGTTTCAACTTCAGGGTTTGTGGGGGCTCGGGGTTCAGGGCTGAGGTTCGCAAGATGCAGGAAGTATAGAAGTTTCAAGTTCAACCTGCAACTAGAAGACATGCCAGACATGCCTGCGTCGAATCCTGTGTCAGGATATAGTGTACTTAAAGAGCAGCTGTAAGGTTTGGCTGGAGATGGTGTAGGTACTTTAGACCTAAAGGCTTGAAGACGCCCACACCCACGACATATTTCGGATCGCACATTGGGTACATGACGTAGTGCTGGGCTGAGTTCGGATTTAAGACCATGGAGTTGTTTGTGCTATTGCCGATTCTAGTGATGTTAAAAATTATGTAACCTTTTTGAATGTAACGCGATATAACCTGATACAACGTAAGATAACCGAATAATGGAAACATAACGTAGTATAGTGCAGCATAGTATAGTAGAGCATTGTATAATTACAGTATAGTATAGTATACTATATACCATTATAATAGAACAAAATATGACAGTAATATAGCATAACCCAATAGAGTAATACAGTTTAATGCAGCAAACATAACATTATACAGTCTACTTTAAGATGGCATGATATAGTGCAATATATGATAACGTATAACATAATATATATATATATATATAACAGAGGAGTAGTGTAACATAAAATCCCATATACTATGGTATCATCTTGCACGTGGCTCGGGGCTTGACTGCAGAGATAGACAAGCGATGGAAGCAGCTTAAGATTCATCGTCCCAGGCTGGTGCTGGTATTGCATAGGGTTAGGTTTAGGGTGAGTATCAGAAGTATATTGCCTGCCTCTTTTTTCGCCGGAACCTAAAAGGTGGAAACCGTCGAATAGATGGTAGGTGAGTAGAGCGAATGCAGCAGCCGCCCACCAGCAGTATATAACCCGTCCATGCCCCTGAAGCCCATTTCGTGCTAGTTGGAGCTGCAGCAACAGATCCGCAGACACGGTCGGTTTTGCACCGTTTACCCGGCCTTTGCCCTATCAAACATGGAGGTATCCTGACTGAAGGGCCGCAAAGTGTCGACCATCCTTCGTTTTGTTGTAGGAGCCTCAAGAAGAAGTGATCTCATTGCCATCTAATCCCAGAGTTGCTTGTAAAACATCTGCCTTCCGAAATCTGGGGCGACTTAGACCCTTTGGCTTCTCGGATTGATAGCAAGCTACACGAGCGTATAGCTGTTTCGGAACCCCAAATAAGGCGGCACCCTTACTAAACCGACGTCCAGGACAGGATGCCGACAGAAAGGCCGTCGAGCTGGCCGCCCAGCTTTCTGCATCGAATTGATAGTCCATAAGTCCATGAGGCTTCATATATACTTGTAGAGTGGAATTAAGTCCCCAAAACCATGATAAGGATGGTCCGTTGGGGCTTAATTCCATAATGGTAGTCTCTGGGGCTAGAAGTCAGAATAGTGCGGAAAGACATTAAGTTTGGCCTTCGGTTCTTGTTTGGCTTAGGTGCTCGCCATAAGCGTAGGGTATTCGAACCCTAAACCCTAAACCCCTAAACCCGAAACGTTAAGCCCCTATTTATGAACACTTACCCCCCCACCCCTAACCCATACAGGCTTGTAGATGAGAAGCAGAGCTCGAAGCCAAGCCCCAAGTCGGGTGAAATGGAGTTTGTTGAGAGTGGTCCAGCAGACAGATTCGTGGAGCAGGCTCCTCACAAATATTAGTTATGTTGGTATATAGCACAATATGTATCATTCGTACGGTTGTGACTGTTCTTCTTCTTTTTGTTTCAAATTGTGGTACCTTTCTTGTTAGTACTATTAACAACATTATGAATATTATTGCTATGACGCCTACAGTTATATTGTCTTTATGACTATAACCGTAGTCGTGGAGCGCAGCGACCAGCGAAACTGCAGATCATGCCCCTTCCTGCAGATAGCCACCTGAAGCTCAGCAACCGCCAGGCCTGTGTAGAAACAAGGCGGCCGTGCCGTGCCATGGAGTGTCACGCATCGGTGCCCACATTTTGCAGACCGGCATCCCCACAGCCTTTGGCATTGCCAGCCTCAGCCGTAGACATCCCAGCGTCAAGCTTTGAGGCTGCGCGGCCATTCTGGATTGTGCATCCAGAATGGCAGCGGTGCCTCAAATTCAACCTTGACGCTGGGATGGCGATGAAGGTGTCGCTCCTTTTGATGAGCCCTTGACAGGGAGGCTTGGGCATGCCCACAGCGAAGGGACGCCTTCAGTCCATCACCAAAGTCCATTCGTCACTTGGCGTTGCCATTCTTGCTTCTCACTGCCCTAGCGCTTTGACGGTGGCACATGGTCAGATGACTTCTCCCTGGCCAGCTCGCCAAGTTCACCGGCACTGAGCTGCTTCGAAACTCCAGAGTCAATGAGGACCAGGTCGCCACGACCCAAGGCTCAGGTGCCTGCTCCTCCGCACAAGCGCGGCCGCGTGTCCTGGGCTGATTTGATTTCAGGTCAGCCCAGGATATGCGCCCGCGGCTGTGCGGAGAAGTTGGCAGAGGAGGCTCAAGGGCACAGGGAGGGAAACCCGGCAAGTGTTCGATGACTTCTCCTGCATGCGATTGACTCCAGGAAGAGGAGGAGAGTTTGTACAGGAGCCAATGGATGAGATTTTTCAGATATGTCGAAACCGTATACTAGCGACCCGGAGAAGGGTCCTGCGAATACGTTTGTCCAAGCACGTGGTGAGACATGAAGGAGCGGAGCTTGACAGATCCGAAGTGTCTCCAGAAGTTCTTGGTCGAGGCCAACATCCGACTGGTGCGGCTGGAATATCTTTTCAAGCTTGCAGAGACCGGTCGGATCTCGCCATCGGAATCTCGAGCTCTTGCTCCTCTGCCTCTTGACCTGCACCTGGGTGACTTGGTCCTGAACAGCACACCGTACTCCATGCGTGGATGCGCGCCAGGGTAGTGCTGCATGCTTATTCCCCATGGCTCTCAGCAGAGGGTGGCACGAGGCGAGCAGGGACTTCCAGACGTCTTGATCTTGAAGTTTACTCACCGCTCCGATGCGCTCAATTGCAGGAGCATGTCTTCCTGGAGCATGACCATAGGCGAACTGAGCTCGAGGCCGTGAACCTGCCCCCAGCAGGAGATAGCGATCTTGGCCAATGCATTGCCGCCTCGTGAATCTAAGACGTTTCAGACTCGTCAACTCTCCACACAGTTTTGGAGGTAGCGTTGTCGAACTTGCACGTGGTCTTGAGTGCCTTCGTCCGGAGAAGTTGGTCGAACTGGAAGTGACAGGTGATGGGATTGAGGATGCGGGCGCTACGGCATTTGCTGCTGCCACTGTGAATTGCGAGAAGCTGTCAGAGATTACAAGAGAGAGTGAAGTGACAACATCGGCGATGTTGGGGCAGAAGCTCTTGCCGCAGCTGTCCCGGAATGCAAGAACTTGACCAGTTTCCATCTCTTCAAGTGTTACCGGATCGGAGACGCTGGAGTTGCAGCGCTGGCAGCAGCCAGCTTCGCAGTCCCATCGGCCGAGTTCCGGTTGGTGTCGCACTTGACGGAGCTAGCGAGAAGGTCGCAGCACCAGTGGGGTCGTTTGAGGTTTTTGTCCAACAGGTCTCTGCGTTGGTCGCTTGTACAGCAGCCTCCAACGATATGCAAAGAGCAGCAAGACCAGGGACTCGGCTGAAGGCCCTCGTGAAGACATGTTTTGCCAGGGCTGCTTAGAAGTTTACAGGGCAGCAGCACTAGCAACAAGTAGCGATCGTCGTTCCATCATTCCTCTCATTTCTGGTCTAGAATCCCAGCGTTGTCAGCAACAGCAAAAATGTCAGGGTGGTTTTGCAGGGCTCGTGCTGCCAAGGTACAGCGGCGGGATGAAGCGTTGGGCCCTCAGACCGGGAGGCTCAGGTTTTTTTGTTTTTCCCTAACCCCCCAGGTACCTAGTACCCTGTCTAGTAGGTACCTAGGGGGTTAGGGTTTCGCTTGCTTGGAAGGAACTTCTTAATTGCGCCAGTTCTCGATTCCTGAGGGTTTAAGGAACCCGGATCCTTCTGACAGGGTTGGCTCACTGAAGGTAGTGCCCGGCTTAGCTCGGCTGTAAGATCAGTCCTCATCACTCCCTACGTGCTGTTGGCTGGACGAGTAGCGGCCTGATTCCTCAGACTCACCGGAGCAAAGCATGGGGCATGAATGTTTAGTCATGGCCTTCCCATGTCCCTATATAGTTACAAGTTACAAATTATTGTTGTACAGTATACCCCGCACAAGCCCTGTTCGAGTTATCGAGGCCCCTCTAACAACCCCAATCTTTCTCCCTTCGCGCGAAGAAACCCTGAGCTCTTCAACCGGGGGCTGCGCTGAATCCTAGGTTCTTGCTTATTACAAGGCAACCCCAAAGCGAGACCCTAGGCCCTGAATCCCTGAATCCCAGAAGGGTGTTCCTAGAGGGGTCCTAACGATTACCTAATGCAGGAACTTGAATGAGAAACCCTGGCCCCACCCCCAAAAATTATTAGGATTCATTCAGATTCATGTACACAAAAGACCTTTAAAACAAACAGGTTCATAGATTGGCTGAGTCGTGAGAAAAAGGCAAACTGAGCCTCGCCATCGCCCTGATCGGCCGATCTCCTTTGCTCCTAGCCTGGAACAAATGTGGATTTGGGTTTAGGGTTTTGGGGTTTAGGGTTTCCGCGAGAGAGAGCGAGAGAATATATATATATATAAAGATTTGGGCTTGTGGGGTTTTGGGTTTCGGGTTTAGGGCTTGTGGGTGTGCGACTGCCACGGCATTGGGGCCTTCGGCTGTAAAGTTTTCAGATGAAGCCCTGACAGGAGGTTGCGAGCCCCATGTGGCTTAGGTATTTGGGGCTGTGGCTGTCGAAGTACGGACTTTGCACTCTCAAGACGGGCCTGGTGCCCGACGCCTGGGTTTGGGGTTTAGGGTGGGCACACAAGCCGGCTGGAAAAGTGTGGCCCCTTGTAGTCTCTGCGCGCTGCACATGCCCTCCCCCCGGGTTGGCAGTTTCTGGCGATTGTAGAACTCACAAGTCCAGATAAGGGTGGCCCTACAGTTTGGGGCGCCGAGGTTTTTAGGGGTTATAGAGGAGTTTTGGAGGTTTTGGGATGCAGCCTCCCCAGAGCTCCCGCCGAGGCTTTTCCTGGATGAGCCCAGTGCAGCCGTGGACGCTGGTGCCAAGCGGCACCTGTGGAAGGCCATCTCCGACAGATCCCAAGGGAGGAGGGCATCATCCACCTTGAGCCCAGTACTCGTACCCCTAAACCCTAAACCCTAAATCCGACCTCATTGCCTCCCTTTTTCAGCCTGTCATGTGCAGGTGATCCGTATGCGCTCGCGTGACCAGACTGTGGTCTTGACGACCCACTCCATGGAGGAGGCAGAAGTTGGCTAGGATCGGGTCCGGGCGTTCAAGGGAAGGCAGAGTCAGAGCGAGATGGAGAGAGAGAGAGAGAGACAGAATCACAGAGAGATCAGAATTTGCAGACGGAGACTGCGAGATAATGATTCAAAACGCACCATGAGTTCGGAAGTTCGTCGTGCTCAGGTTCAGAAAGTATAGAATGCCAGCAAGCTGTTGGGAGGGGAGCTTCAACGGTCGTTTCTTCTGCTGTAACATGCGCGACACCGTCATCAATGACGGGGCATCGGTTTGTCCTAGCATTTACTTTTGTGTTCGAGCATGTTGGTAGTTTAGTTCCGACGGGGGAGGAGACTTTAAAATCATCTGGGCTTCCGCTTCAGCAGCTGCATGCTCTCAAAATCATTTCCGTCATGTTTCGGTTTCAATCAAGCCCAATCAAATAGTGTAAACTGAGCAGCAGCAAAGTTCGTCACGCCTGTACAGTCGGCACACCAACACTGACACAGTACACAGTGGCGAGCTGCTCAGGCAGAGGCGCTCTGCAATCGCATCGCGATCCAGGCATCGGGTGCAAGTTCCGAAGTTGTTAGTGGCTTCGGCTCTAAGGCTAGAAGGTGCCAAGGCCATTCGTAGTGACGGGATCACGACTGATGTCCCCAGGGACCCGGGTTGTGCCAAGTTTCTCTTGCTGTCATGCCCATAGATGAAGGCAGTTTCTGAGTAGAATGACGGACGTCAACCTTACCTTGCTAGATGCATCCTTATGAACAGCAGGTAGCACACTCGACAACTCGCCTTCCAAAACACAGAATCATTCACTCCTCTAAAGCAATAGACATGTTCATTGTTGGAGCATGATGACATAAACAAGAATGTGTGCGGGTAATTCTGCATGATACGCTGACTGCCCGCGCACTAAGCTGCCAGAAAGCTTATGCCACATCTCCACATGCCTCCCCACGCGGCGAGGTCCGTGGTCAACTTCGATGCTTGGGCACGCCTCTGCACATCAAGTGCAGGGCTTGGGGTTGTTGCAGCTTCCTGCGAAAACAGTAGTAGAATAGATTACTTCCCAACTGTGCCCAAATGTTGCGAACACCAAAGTACCGCGCCTGCTGCTGCGGCTGCTGCTGCTGCTGGCGCTACCGTCACCGCCACTTCAAGCCTGAACCTGCTTACGGCTCAGGGGAAAGTACGGCTCCGGATATCAGTTGGAGCTCTTCTGCGATCCTCCTGCAGATGAGTTCAGTTCGGCGCCCAGGGTCTAGATCTTATCTGCTGGTCTTGGGACCTCCTTACTTTCAGGGGCTGAGTATTCCGGGACTTGCTTTTGCTTAATCAACCATTTAGTACTCAATGGCTTGAATGCCGACAACCGGGTGCCATCATTTTCATCTGCTGTTCCGAAACTTGCTTGTCTAGCTATCGAAGCAATTCAAGAAGCCTTGTTGACGGTCGCACGTTACCTAAATAGCTCACGAAGATGTTGTAATAAGGTACTGATCGTACTGCTATACTGCTACTGCTACTGCTGCTGCTACGGCGACTGCCACTGCTACTGCTCCTGCTGCTGCTGCTACTGCTTCCGCTACTGCTACTGCTACTGCTATACTGCTACTGCTACTGCTACTCCTACTACTTCTACTACTACTACTACTACTACTTCTATACTTCTGCTACTACTACTACTACCACCACTACCACTACCACTACCACCACCACCACCAACCACCACTACTACTACTACCACTACTACTACCACTACCACTACCACTACCACTACCACCACCACCACCACCACCACAACCACCACGACCACGACCACGACCACGACCACGACCACTACCACTACCACTACCACTACCACTACCACTACCACTACTACTACCACCACTACGACTACCGCTACCACTACGACTGCGACTTCGACTAAATACTGGTACGGTCACGACGACGAGGACGACGACAACCACGACGACTACTACTGCGACGGTTGAAGAGCCCCATGCCTCTCTTTAACGTTCCGACCCTGTAAAGCACAATAAACTCTGTGGAAGTTCCTTCACCCTAAACCCTAAACCCTCTAGATTCGCGACTCCCACGGTACGGGGGTTTGTGGTTGATGGTCTTAGATGTGGTTCTGGGACATGCGTGGATGTGGGTTGTCGTGCTGGCGTTACGGCGACTTCGCACCTTGAAACCTCGCCTAGCATGTCTGAGTCGTGAGAGCGAAAACCTTATACTGGCGCTTTACCATCGCAGGCCACGACTTCTGGGCTGCGAAAGCAACGGAGATCCGGGCTTTGAGTGCCGGCTTGCTTCTTGTGTACATACGTATATGTGAGTGTAAATTTATTATTGTGTATATATATATACACATATGTATATATATATATATCTGTCTGTGTGTGTGCGTGTGCGTGCGTCTGCGTGTGTGCGTGTGTGCGTGTGTGTTTCAGTTTCGGGTACCTGTAGGGTCCAGCGGCTATAGGTGTCCGGTAGGTAGGTGTAAACTCCAACATTCGAACCGTACCGTACTACAAACTGGGGAGGAAAGTTCATAACTTGTCTGCGTTTGTGTGCCTCTGTGTGTACATATGTATGTATGTATGTATGTGTACATACATACATACATACATACATATATCAGGTTGTTTATATATTTTTTGTAGTTGTTTATTCATATTTATATTTAGATGTAGGTATGTATATATATATATATGTATGTGTGTGTATTTGCTTTACATATATATATATATGTACGTATATCTATTTGCTTGTTTGTTTGCAAAGGGGTCTGTTTGCAAAGGGGTCTCTTAATTGCGCTAGACAGTTGTGAGACCCTGGCGCAGATTCGGTTTCGATTGCAGGGTCAGCAGAGCTTGGCAGGTAGCCGACATCCTTAAACCCACACCCCCAGGTCCAACAGCCCCAAAGCCCTAAACCTGCAATTTGTAGACTAACTAACCGCGGAGATCCCTATGCTCAAAGCCCCGGAGCTTAAGCCTGCGAGCCAGATGACAGCAGTCGAGAGGAGCTCAGGCGATTCGTCACCCGCCGCTTGTCGCCCAAAGGATCACTGCTTGAGCATCACGCCGGAAGGTGGGGCGCTTGAAGTTGGGGGTGTTTGGGTTTAGGGGTGGGGCTGAGTGGCGGGAGCCGCTTAAAAGATCCTACGCCCTGGGAAGATTAACTACTTAACGCAAGGTTCCTCTGCCTTTGCCGTACTGCGCAGATGCATCGCCTATTCTGTACATCATGTTACTCCCCCGCAAGCAAGACTGGTCTTCGGTTTTCCACCGAATCTGTAGGTGTGGCATTGGATTGTCGATTTAGCGCCAAAGCCTTTGCTTGCTTTGTCCGACCAACGGCAGGAGGCTTTGTCTAGAAAAGCTCAGTGCTGCAATCAGCACCAGATCTTGCTCTTGGAGCTTTGTGGCTTGAACACTCCTTGTTAATTGAATCAGGCAAGTCACTCAGACAGGATCAACAGGACCCGAACCGAACCCCATATTGCTGCCGGGCAGGCGGAAGGCAAGAAAGCCATGAACCCAGGATCCCCTCATGTCAGAAGTCAACGCCCCAGGGTGTGAGGCATCATGACGTACCAGCTAAACGCGTTGTCAGTGCTGAACCCTGCTTTTGCATCCAGGTCTTTTTCAGCACTTAACCCCTAAAGCCCTTAAACCCTCAGCAATTTAACCCCTAAAACCCCTAAACCCTCAGCACTTAACCACTAAAACCCCTAAACCCTCAGCAATTTAACCCCTAAATCCCCCTAAACCCTCAGCAACTTAACCCCTAAAACCCCTAAACCCTAAACCCTGCCCCTAAATCCCCTAAACCCTAAACCCGAAAAGGCCTAAGCTTTATGGAGCCCCGAAGCTCTCGAAGAGGTTCCTCTTCCAGCTGCCTCCCCTGACCGAGGTCGGTCTTCATCGGTTTGTCTTTGTGGATTTTAGGGTTTAGGGTTTAGGGTTTAGTTAAAGCTTTGGGTTTTGGGTTTAGAGTTTAGGGTTTAGTTAAAGCTTTGCGTTTAGGACACTAGGTGTTTCAGGTTTTGGGTTTAGGGCTTAGGATAGTTGGTTTTCCGGTTTAAGGTTTAGGCCTCATAGGGTCTATAGGGTTCAGGGGAGTGCGAGGATATATTACGAGCAGTCGAAGGTTCCTTTCAGGGGTGCTGTATGGGGGTTCTATACTGCTACCAGAAAGGAAGTCGATGGATACTAGAAGGGTTTCTATAGGCGAACTATGAGGGCGATGTTCGAGGCCTGGGGAGGGATTTTCAGGCTTTATCGGTGATTTTAGGTGATGCGTGGGATTAGGTTTAAGGTTTAGGATGTCTTCTTTTCACCCACAGCCTTTGCTTGTATACAGGAGCGTTTCCGAAGTCAGCACCTCAATACGCTAGAACACATGGTTTAGGCTTTAGGGACCTAGTATTAGAGCCCCAGTTTTGCAGAATCATGCGGAACTCCTGATCTGCAGTTCCCTAAACTCCCTTGTTCATGACATGTCCGCAAAAAATCTCGCAATGCACTAAACTTGCAACCCTGACTAAGGCCCAAAACTCGAAATCCTTAAGCCCTAATTACACCCTAAAAGACGTTTCGAAGCCTTATGAAACACGACCTCATAGAACCCGGAAGTTCCTGGGAGCTACGTCCAAGCAGGTTACGGCATCCTCCGCGGAACCGCAGGCCACAAAACACGAGCCGGGTACCATAAGGCTTCGGGAGTTGTGGGCTTTGGCCTATAGTCTTCCTTGCACTCCCTTTGTTGGGTTACTTTTGTTTTTTGGACGGTTAAACCCAAACCCTAAAACCCTAAACCCTTAAAAGGGAACTACAATGGAGACTACAAAGGCTAGGCAACAGGACGGGGCCTGGAGGTTCGGGGTTGAAAGCGTGGGTTCTTGATGGTTCATGGAGAGGCTTTCGCGGGTGTAGCTTTGCTATAGTTGAGGCAGGTTGCAGCGAAATATTGGAAGGCTACGTAGTAAAATCTGGTATAGT